TCGGACTATCTTTCTACTGCCGCTCTGGAGTATGCTACAGCGGATCTATTTCTCCCCGGACGGACTCTTAATTTGGACTATTGCTGCTTGATTGATTGTGGGCTGAACTGCATAATTGTATTGTCTGTAATTTGAATGTTTCTCCTTTATTTTGACAGGAACAGCCAGCTCGTGGTGTTGGTGGTGGACTTTCCGGGTGGTGGTACTCCTTCTGGTTTGGTGCACAATTTTCTTTTGTTTTTGCCTTGTTTCGTTTGCTGCGTTTCTTTTCTTTTAGGACACTATCCCGAATTGCACTCCCATCCCTGAGTTGAGCTAGCACTGACTTTTAATGTGTGAGTGGTTTTAGACAAGTATTTTTGATTAAACAAACAATTGTGGAATAAATAAAATTGTTACATTGTGAGATTGTCTCAAGCCTCATCTGTAGCGGGTCTGTGTGCCTTAAAGGTAACTTTTTAGTGGAGTTGTTGCAACCAATGTTATTAAAATAGTGTTTTTAAACTTAAACTCCTAATTCTTATCACACTGCTCCCGCCACATATGTACAAGATGTCTTGGCACAAAAGATCTTTTTTTTCTCCACAATTTTAATAGTAGGGAGGTTTAGATAATAAAAAAATCCAAAAACTATTTTCTCTTTTTTATTACTTAAAGAAGAATCTCAAGGTACGTACAGCCATACAGCTGCAAATGCCCCCGCTACACGTATAATATCCAAAATAGACGAGCATAAAGAAATAATACCCTTAGAAGATGAGCGTAACATATGAGAATGAACCCATTTTTAAGTTGTGGAGAGATTTTTGTTCTCTATTGTTTAAGATTAGGCTGAAAAATGTATTTTTTGAAAGAGTGAGAAGTGTAGTGCAGAGGTTTTAACAAGACAAGCAGTTATCCAGAGATGTCTCTCCTGGTACAGGATAGTAGTAATGCTGTTCCTGATCATTTACCATTGAAAAACTGGACACAAGTCTGCAGTGGAGGACGGTTGTTTACAGCGGAGGTAATAAATCTCAAGTTGCACTATTGTGAGCACTGCTCTTAATGTAGTTTTGCTTTAGCTTTGCTATCATGTTTATATAAAAGCAAATGTACTAAGAAATGGTTATTTACAATTACATTTATTTATGAAATTTGATAACATGCAATCAGTACATAACAAGAGAAATACAAATACATTTGACTGCTTCTGTGGCAACTCATTCCTTCTAGAAAAATTATACACATCTGAGAAAATGAAACTTTAATGAAAGATCTCTTAGCTCACTTTTCCCAACCCTGGTACTCAAAGCTCTTTCCCCTTCATGTTTTAGTTGTTCTTTCTCCAACTTTTCATCTGCTTGCTGATTTCATTTGATGGATAAAAACAGGCAGAAGAACAGGTGAAGAAACAAAGGTGATAACTATGGGGAGCCATTCCAATCAGACCTTTCATTGTACAGTGAAATGTGTATTTGGAGAATGTGATGGCCAAATCCATGGCCACACTCTGAAGGCAGAAGTCGGTAACTCTTATGCACAATTTAGTTTTCATAATTTATTTTTTTTTCATTCAAATACAATACTTTAGTTTCAGTAAAACATTTATTAGTTGATTTGGATACATTTGTTCTTTTTGTTAGCGCACATATTTAGTTAACATGTGTATTTATATCAACTTTAAAGTTTAATTTGTTTGCAACCAACTTTGTTTGTTTTTGCCGGTACTTACCTGCCTTGGAGTGGCCAGACAAAAGATGGATGCCAGGGCTCAGCAGGCTTAAATGCTGATTGGACTGCACCACTAGTTCCTGCTGGCAGGGGAAATTTGTAGTTTCTTTATTTAGATAAGTTTTGTATTTAAGTAAATATTAGTATTTAAACTTTAATATTTTTGATTTTCATTTTTTGGGTTTTAGTTTAGCCAAACTTAGCTGTACTGTTAGTTGTTTTGTGTTATTTGTAATTGTATTCTGTTTAGTTATCCCTATTGTGTCTTAATTGGTCTGATCAGCCAGTATATAAACCCCTGTGTGTCATTTCTTTGTTAGGTCAGTTATGTTTGTTTGTTTGTGCAGCCAGTTTGTTTACATTATTTGCCTGAGTTCAGTTTTGTTTCTTTGACCTCTTTTATGAGCTCAGTTTATTCTTTGTCATTTATAATCTTTGGGTTAAAATAAATAACCCTATTTTTCTAATTAATATCCTGTGACTCCTTCTGTTTTTAACTCGGTCCATCACAGAGAACATCTCACTTTGGAGGAAAGGAGAAGCAGGAGTTTGGCATTTGAGCTCAGTACAATCTACTGTTACTTCAATATCAGGAAAATCTTTGAAGTCATCAGGGAACTGAGCTCAGATGTTCTCTGTATCAATCCAGATGCATAGAGAACCCAAAAGAGTGTACAAATAATTGGTCCATGGAAAAATAATTGGGCTTACAGTAGAAGGGTGAATATTGAACTGATTTTGTTGGGTCTCTTTCCTTAAGACCTGCAGCCAGGTACATCTGGAACAGGAACAGCTCGTCAACGTGTTGCAAAGCGTCACCTTCTTAAAATAATTGCCTAAGTCATTTTTTTTTCAGGAAACACAAAAAACTGAACCATTTGTTGAATAAATGATATTTACGAACAATTTTAATCAAAAAAGTTGTAACAACAGATGTCTTTTGACATACAAACAGCAAGGTCAGTCAAACATGGAACATGACAGAATTAAATGACTTAGGCAAATTTTTGAACATGCCTTTGTGACCTAGGCAATTTTCCAGCATAATCTAACAAAACATAATGCTGAGGAGGCATGTGCATTTTTTCCACTTCTTCCAGCTCTTCTTTGACAATTTGCCACACTAATAGGCATCAGACAAAAACCCAGCAAAGAAGTGATGACACTCGACAGGCATGATGGGTTTCATTGACTGGAGGTCCTGGAACTTTCTCTTTGATTGGCAGAGCACATGGAAACAAACTTATCCATGCCATTGGCCCATTTGGCACCTGCACTCTTTGTGGCAGTTCTTCCCACACAGAGTCTTCTGAAAAGGACAGCTTGAAATGGACCTTGCCTTCACTGCTAAACTGAAGACCCCGCAAGTCATGCACAGTCGGGTCTCCAACTTTTTTGCCTGGTCTGATGCTGAAGAAGTAAGATCCATTTAGCTTCAGGAACTCATTGTGCTTGAGCACTTTCACATAGTAAGGTGATGGCCTGATTCTTGCAGTCTGGAGTACAATGACATAGTCTCTTGGGGTGAAGATATCTGCAACTATTTTTCGTTCAATAGTACTATGCATAATGTCACACTCCAAGAAGGTATTTCTGGGTTAATAGCACCCCATATTTCCTTGCAAGCTCAGAATATGCATTTGCTACACATGTATTGCGATTCTGATAACCGCAACCGTCGCTCCACACTATGATCTCCTTGAGGTCTGGATGGCCTTTGATCACACCTTCAAAATGATGATACTGAAGATGTGCAAATACCTCGCTACAGAGGTCACCTTCTGATTCGTCCCAAACATAGCAGTAGCCTTCCTTTGATCTCAAGTTGAAAAGGGTAAAATTGTGGACCTGCAGTTTTGTTTTGTAATACA